TAATATATAAAGTATATATATTTATATAATAAACTATATCTATTTATAAACTATTATAAACTAATGCTAGTTTATAATCACATAATAAATAACATATAATTATATATTTTAATATATGCACGTTAATAATTTATCAACTTTTCATATGTGCATGAGAGAAAATTATGTCATGAAATGAATTCTAGAAGCTATATCCCAAAAGATGCTCTCTATTACATACTTACAGCATGTATGTAGTAGTCACCAATAAGGCAAAATCTAGGGAAGCTTCTCAAACTAAAAATAGTCTGGAAGATAAAGGAAAGTCAACATAATTTTTTCTAGTTCAGATTTTCCTGAACTAGTTTCTTCTACTTCTTAGATCTTATAATTTTAAGTTTATTTGTTTCTTTCATAAGTAAAAGAAAAAGACAGAGAGACAGAGAAACAGTACCCCCAACGTGGTCTTGTTGCTGTGATCCACACCACCTCCAGCCTCAGATAGCCCCAGATCACAGGTACACACATGCCTGGCATACTCAGGGAGGTATTTGGGATGCAAACCCAGAATCTTCCAATGTGGGTCAGCCTGGTGAATCCTCATATTCTACTGCTGTGCCATGATCTGGCCCCTTTTTAAATCTTTTCTACATAATTTCATAACATATATACATTTTCTAAATGGGATGATGCCGTATATATACTTTTAGCCATTATACATATGTACACCTTTTCACTCCAAAATACGTAGTATATATTTTTCTAAGTCTATATTTTTAATGTCTGCAATGTACACTCTTAATCTCTTGTCCATCTGTTTTCTCTCCATTTATTAACTCCTTCCTCCTTTTTCGTTTTCATATTCATGATTGCAACCTTATCTATTGAGTTGTCAGAAAAACCATGACATATTTTTCTATGCAAAAATGTGTCATGACTTTTCCAACAACTGAATATCCCTCCCATTTAGCAAAATCCCAATTCTGGATCAGTCTAGCTCTCTGCCTTATTTATAGTCTCTTTTTATCCCCCCTTCCTCCATCCAACACCCAACACCCACTATCACTAGAATTCATATGGCTCCAACAGGGTTGTTTAATTTGCCACACTGCCCTTGAAGGTTAGCATAGTGATTAGCAATGTATAGTTTGTATCTTCAACTAGGCACTTTTCATTGTTTTATTTTGATCAACACCTTCTCCCATTACCCAAATAACTATTTTATACATTCATCACTTTGTACAAAGACACTACCTTAAAATCTTTATCTTAACTCTTAATAATCATTAATTACTGAATGTTTACTACATGCCAGTCACTGTGCTAAGTATTGTATCTGACTTATATAATTTGTGCAATAACCCCACAAAGTTTCAGATAGAGATCCAGAGAGTAAGTTATTAATATGAGGTCACACATCTACTAAGTGCTTGAAATGTACACAAAAAATTTCTGAGTACTTTTTCACTTACAAATTGTGATTCTACTTTTTTTGCAAAGCTTTTCCTAGACCTTTAGTTTATTCTAAGTGTCCCACTTCTGTGCATTGTGCTATGTAAATATTTACATCAGAGTATCACATTGTAAAATCAAGGGGAATATAGGACATAGTCCTAAGAATTCATATTCTAGGTCTAGAGTTTACATCTTGGATTCATATCTTTGTTTTTGGTACATAGTAGATATGTAATATCAGACAACTTGTTTCACATCTCTGTGCCTCAATATCTTCACCTGTAAAGAAGGGATTACATTAATACTTATCTCTTAGACCATAAACAATAAATGAATTAAGATATCTACTTACAAGCAGCATTAACATCATGTGAGAACTTGGAAATCGACTTATAGAATCAAAATCTGTAGGTAAGGCTCAGCAAAAAAAAAAAAAAACCTGCAGAGGATTCTGAGGATTCTAAGTTATGATTCAATTTGAGAACCACTAGCCTAAGGTTTCAAAAGTGGCAAAACTTGGGATGAGAACCCACATTCTGAGAAACATTTTTTTAGACAAATCATTTAACTATCTAATGCTATATATGTATAATATCATGCATATTGCTTAAACTATTGCAGAAAAATTGAAGAAATGTTCAATTATTTGAATAATTTTAAGTATATTTTATTTTATATTTTTATACATTCAATCACTATACATTACTTAGCTTATAAAGTGAATTTTCCAACATGAATAAATTTCTCACCAGTCCAGTTGGGGATACTATACACATTATCATCAGCAGATAATAATCTATTTCTATGTCCCATGAATGTGTTGCCTCTATTTTTCTACTTAATGTCTTCCCTCACACTCTCCTCTCCACTACATTAGAAAACGAGATATAGGATTTAAACTGCTTTTAAAATTGTTCAAATTTTGCCTTGAAACATTTATGTTTGCATGAGTCAGAGGACAGGATATTAGTCATGTATTTATTGCCCAACAACAGTTCAAAGTATATAGCCTTGACAAAGCAGCTATTCAATAAAGTTTTATAGAATGAGAGTTAAATATATTCCAGTTTTACTATCACATACTGCAATTAGAAGTGGAGATAGTAATTGAGCAATGGAAGCTACATTATTTCTTAATGATTGCCTAAGTAACAGTGTAATCCAGAGCTTTGAAATAATTTCCTCGCTGTGGATTTTTTTTTTTGATAAATACACATGAATGACCTAAAAGTGTAATTAAGCACTGAAAAGCCTTGACTTTAATTCCTAGAGAAGCTAAAAATACCAAAAGGAAATAGAAAGCTAGTGCTTCCCATCACTAAACACTCCAGAACAGATGCCATCTCATGAAATTTTGGTGCTCAAGAATTTCTTTTTTGTCAGAAGATTATCAGTTTCTTTCTTCATCTCTTCATTCCTCTCTCCCTCTTTTCTTTCATCTTTCCTTACTACATTCCTTCCTTTCTAGGAGGTGAGATGACACATAGAAGGTCATTGTCACTGTTTCTTTTTCTTCCCAATATAATTCTAGCCACCATCCCCCAGTGATAAATGAAACTATAATCCACACTGACAATTCCACCTTAATGATCTGCTCTCTGCTTTCACTTTCTCCTGCTCTCTCTCCCCTTATGTCTTTCTCATTTCTTCTCCTTCCAAAATGCAATTCAGCAATGAGTGGGCTGAAGGGTCAGGATTAAGGAAAGTTGTCCCATGGAACTATTCTGGCTGCTTTTAAATTCTAGTATTCAGTGCTATAGGTTGCCCTTAGTTTTCTTTCCTTATTTATAGAAGGAAGTTAGTGACTTACAGGCATATGTATTAGCTTGGCATTAGAACTAGGAGAAAGAAGGATAAGAATCTTATAAATGCAAAAAGTCTATTAATACTATCATAATTCTCGTTAATAGTAATTCAAAGCTCTTAAAACTACATGGCATGGAGGTTAAGGTGCTGGATTTCTATATGGCCAACTACCTTTGGAGTCTGGACCTGGCAGCTTGAAACTCACACTGGTTGTGTGTGCATGTATGCCCCAAATGCCAAGACAATAATGGAGGAGAAGGGATTGTGGTGTGGCCTTGCCACTGGATGGTGATTTTTCACTTTCCCTCTCTCTGTTGATCTGTTTCTCTTTGGCAGCTGCATCTGCCCTATGGAAAAAAAAAAAAAAAAAAAAAAAGAGCAAAGCAAAACTACATGAAGATTCAAGTTTTTAACTTGACTTAACTTCAAATATATGAGAGTACTTCAAAAGTTCGTGGAAAAATAGAATTAAAGTACAAGCTTATAGGGTTAGCCTCATAGCAATTAAGGGAGTCAGATCCCACCAGGTCGACTAAGGTTTGAATCCCATCCTTGGCACCTGAAAAGCATGCTGGACATGTTTGCCCATATGCCTCAAATCCTTACAGGATAGAGAATTGGAGGATACAATGTTGCAGTGTGACCATGCCCCATTGGAGAACACTTTCTCTCTCTCTCTCTCTCATGTACATGCCCTCTGTCATTAAAATAATGTCTCCGTTTATTTTGATGCAAAAAAATTGAACTCCATGCACAGTTTTTTAATAATATGCATTTTCCATGGACTTCTTTTAAGACCTCTTGTATATATTCAGCAGCCTTTCTCATTCAGATAAAAACCCTCATCCTAGTTCTTCCTCAGCAACCGATTTTTCAGAACCCCTCCCTTTTTCGTGGAAGCTCTGTTTTACCTTTGCTCTCCTTCAATAAACTCCTCTCTTTGGTATAACTACAAAAAAAAAAAAAACACCCTAGAAGATATTTAATGTTTTGCTAAGGCCTCCCCACAATTTCTATTTTGGGAAACACAGGAAATACCATATACATACATGCACATATGTTGTTTTGCCTCAGGAAATAGAAACATTCATTCTGTTTCTCTATACTAAATTGTATATTTTTATAAATCTATATAAATGGTTTTGCACAGCAAGTGACCCACTTACCTCTGCAATGTATTACTTGTAAGCAAATACTAGAAGATAAAAGTAGAAGCTAACATATTGAAACTGTCTTTAAAACATTGTCTTTCTGTCAGAACATGTGTAATTTTTTTTTCTTTGTTTGAGAAGTATGTTCACCAGATGTATGTTGGGCCCAATTCTTCCACCAAGTGTAGAGGGAGCAAGTAGACAAAACTAAGGGTTTTCTATTGTCTCTCACAACACTAAAACTGTATTCTTTTTAAGTTTCACCATTTCCAAATGAGCATGTGCCAATTGTATAACCAGTAACAGTTCTGCAACATTTGCCTATGTAATATATTGCTTTACAGGGACCAGCAGCTAGCGTAATGACTATGTTGCTGAACTCCCATGTAGTCGACCGCAGTTCGAGTCCTGGACCCGGTGGCTTAAACTCATGTTGGGTGTCGGCGTCCGCCCCCAGGCTTAGCACTATTATGGAAGAAGCAGAAAAGATGAGACAAAAAGATAGAGTGGAAATGGACACAGGCAGCCTGAGCCTAGGTAGCCCAAGCAACTTGTGCTGCCCAGATGAACTGGACGTCTTTATTTATAGTACAAGGAGACATTACACATGTATGTTTCATGACACTTCATGGATTAGTTGCCAGGTTACAGACAATGAGAAGCAGTTAACAAATCTATAAGGGATTAGTCATACCCTGGGCAAGGTGTATCCCTTGGTGGTAATCCCATCTAGAGTAAATCTCATCTTCCTTTCTAATGCAGAGAACTAGCTGTTAGGTGTGGGGAAGGAGCTAAAGAACTTCTCCATAAGGAGTGTACCACCACACCCAGAGTAGGCTAAAGAACCTTTCAGATGCAGAGCAGGGATT